AGAAACTCCCCCCCGATCTACCGATAACCCGCTTCACCGATAAATTTTGGCGTAACGAAAATATCGGTATGACGAGGGTTGACTATATTAATATTATAAAAATAAAATTTTACTAAATTGGTCACGTGGATTCGATAGTCGGTCTCCAGGCCAGCCATCTTATCGAGTCTGCCTACGTATATAATTAAAGATTTATTAGCTAGTAACAACACCGTTAGGCGGTCACCGTAGGTGTATCTAATAAAGACAGCAAATAACCTGTTCGAATATAAGATAAATATGTACAGTCCAGGAAAAAATAATGGCGGTCAACAAAAATATTTTTACAGTAAATCTCGCAAAGTAAACAGTCGCAAAAATTTGGGTTTAAGCTGCTTAAAAGCACACGGTTACGTTCTAAAATAGTTGATGCACAATAATAATTGTTTATGTTTCAATGATGTTTAGAATAAAATTTTAAATTTAGCAAGTGAACAAGTTATACCTTGATAAATTGTAGGCCATATGTCAGACATCTTTTTACTAAAAAATTTAATCTTCCAGTACTAAGTAAAACTATTTACAATAACAAATTCTACCTTATTAGCAACTTTTCTAGCTATTGGGTCAATATTTTTATTATGAAATGCCTTTGACCAAAACCAAGACTGCTTTTCTTGTATAAATATGCCGAAAATTTTTGTGAAATTTATCATCTCTTTATTACAAGTAGAATTTTTATCGTGAACAACATTAATTACTGCCAAAAGTTTAACTTATATGTAAATACTTTGTGGAAATTGCATTTAATAAGCACCGCTATTATTTTTCCCGGGATTGTAGATAACGATAAAGCATAAAACATAATTTCGTATAATATTATTGTGATGATAGTAGAAGTTGATCTTGTCGTGACCCGTAATGCGAATTAGTAATTATACAATACAATATAGTTTTAGTTTGCGTTTTTCCGCGTTCGATTAAGATTAATTTATTTTAAATTTCGACTTTACTTCATCGTTTTGCTTGTTAAGAATGTCAAATTATTTACAACAATAACAATACTGTTTCGGTTCCTTTTGGTTGCGCAGCCGGGTATATTGCAAACCATCCTCTTTTGAGAAATACACGATTGACCAAAGTCGTTTATACGTTAATTCATTAATCCGTGAGAGATTTATTGAATTACGTTCGCGTTGAGGGAGCCACAGATTATATTGAATGGGAAACTTCAGGTGGAGGGCTCTATCAAGCGGTGTGGATGGGCAATCCGATAATCGTTTTGTAGGTTTTCTTTCTCTAACCGGATGTTTTTGTATGGCCTCTAGCACCGGTAAAGCTTGCGCGTTAGGACTGTCCCGGGTTTTTTCTTTGTGGGAGAGGCTATGTTCAGTGGATATTATAAGAAAATCCCACAAATAGAGTCGACGATATTCTTGAGCTTACAAAAAAAGGTCAAAATAGAGTGGACAAGTTGTATGAATTACAATTACCAAACAATTTAAAGAATGGCATCGACGTTCAGTTAGTCTATTCATATTCACGTATCTTCTGCAAATTATTCTCGGGTTAAATTTCAAATAACACAGCGCACTTTCCGAATGCATTGTATTTCTAGCAAAGACTTTAGGAATACGGTATTGGGGCGGTTTGCAAAAAAAGCTATGTCTAATGTTCATAGAAAGAGGATGAAGAGATTTAGGATATCAAAGATAAACCATGCCTATACATCTGACACGTCATGATTAGGTAAGGATAAACTTCAGGGTATCAGTGAAAATGTGACTTTATTGCGGATATATCGAAAACGCAATCTAAATTTGGGGTCTACCGATTTATTATTACCAAAAACGGATGTCCAAAACGAAACTTTTGTTCAACCAAGACCCGACTGGAGCTGTTGGCCGACTTATCGAGAATTTTAAATAGTGAAAAGAAAAAAAATGGCAAAAAAGGTTTTGGCCGACTTATTCAGACTGACCGTATCTCTTAATCTGTAGGCCAATTTGGGCAAATTAGACCCTTTCTTTTGTAACGCATTTTTGAGAGTATTATTACTATGTTGTTTGCACTTTGACCATTAGGAAAAGTTATGTACATTGTCCAGGAGATTTACACGAGCTAAAATACACTGTTAAAGAATGTGTGGTTGAAAATAATGTGCATTTAAAGAAATATTTTTAAAAAAAGTTATGTAAAATTTCTAAATTTTTGCAAATTCTGTTTTATTGAAGATATGATAGGGTACCATATTCTTGGACCAAATTTTTTCTTTACTTTATTGTCAATCTAAAGAGTCATAAACAAATGAGCCATTGAAGAGTAATGGCCATTTGAAGACAGACACACACATCCCTTAAACTCATACATCCTCTCCCACTTTCCTCTCCCCATACTCCTCCTTCTTTCTTGAACTCTTACATTGCTTCTACTTTTTTGTCTATCTTCAGAGCTTATTTCTCACTATAGTTCACGTTCATATTCTACAAGTATCCTCCTCACCGAGAGTGTCTCTTCATCGTGCTGATTTCTCTAAAGTAACTAAGTATAGTGAGTCTAAAGCTAGTGGAATGAAACATTTTTTAATAAGAATATCTACAATAACAGTTTGCAATGTTAAATGTATTAGTATGGGTATTATAACGTTTATTATCTCCGTCGAAATCTACGTACTTAGGGTTAAGGATCGACAACCGATCTGCAGACAAACAAGACGATATTGACCGACTCATGTAACTTACGGCCTTGTAATCTTGCGTACCAATAGCTGTGATTCCGAGGTTTCTGAAGAACTATATGTGTTGGAGTTGTTTACTTATTAGCTTCAGGCGATATAAAGCAATCTTGTTAGTGAATCCAAATCACAGGCAAATTTGCCTGTAATACAGTTTAAGGGATAATTCTAAAGAATCATTCTTTTATCAACAACGCGTCAATAAAAGTTACCATAAATGGATTTAGGAGACAAATCTCCGAAATTCACGTTTCGAATCACTTGATCTTGCTATCACAAGTGATATTATCGTAAACTCTCGTGAATAAACCCCCCCCCCCAGCTCACATTTGTATAATATGGCAAAATACATACGGGGAGGCTTTTAATCTTGCCTGGAAAGGGAGAATTTTGACAACGAAGGCCCTTTATTCACGGTATTGCGTTACGTATATACTGTAATTATTATAAGTTTTTGCGTTATAACAAAAGACAACTTATATACCAAGGAAAATTAATAAGAATTGCAGAAACATATATAAACACTATTAGCTAGTTTAATGCACAGTTGTGTTAGGGATTTTCATTTACAAAATACATAGTGAATTTTGCGTTACTTACTATTCTTTGAAGGGTACTGCACACACGGTACTGTTCAAAAAGTAAACAAACAATCTATTCGGGACAGGAATGAGTAAATGCGTTGAAAATTTCTCTGAAGATAGTGTATCATAAACCCACTGTAAAATTTCAGCTCGATCGAATGTCTCCAGAAAATTTTTCGAGATATACAGTATTTATATCAGACCCATGCGCGGTTTTGGCTATAGAAATTTAAAACTTCATATCTCGACACACTCCTAACCAAATTTTATGATTCTTTTTTTTTTGTTCCTCTGCACCATCAGAATGCATTTATATAGAGCAAATTGCCGTGTGATTGCTACTACAGGATGCAAATAATCGTGCGGTATAATGATAAAGATTATGCAAATCTATTATAAACGCGGGAGATTCGATACCGTTTTGATATTTTTAGAGATGTTTGAAATTTTACAGGCAATCAGGATTTGTGATACACAAATCTGCAGGGAAAGCATTTACTCATTGAGTTAGGTGTCCGTACCTACATAATAATAAAACCGACATATTCAAACTTGGCTTACTAATAATTCCAAAGCAAAAGTCTGTCAGACTACGTGTGACATTTACGCTCTTCCTAAATCAGAAGAACATGCCTTTTAAATGGCTCAGCTGAGATAGTCGCTTGTTAAAATGGCAATTAATAAATACATTGCGATAACTGTAAACAATTCTGCCGAAGTCTAATGGGGTCTACCAATCAAGTCTTGTATAAAAATGTCAAGCAAATTAGCTAGTCGCTTGCATTTTACCAACACAAACAAGTTATCTCAATTTCCTTGTAGAGCAGCATCTAATTATTATGCGATGACGCGTTATTCAACTTATAAGTCTATTAATGGATTTATGCAATTTCAAAATGCTTACATCATAAATTTGTAAAGAAAGCAAATTCCAAACATAATGGATCAGTCATATCTTATAATGAAATTACGATTGAAGATAAAGCTGATTATTCTAGCATTGGCGTTCTGCTCTGTCCAGTCGCGATTGAGTGCAGAAAGTCTATGATATCGCATTCTAATCAACTGGTAATGACCTTAATCCGCGTAAATAACGGCATACAAAATTAGATGAGCAAAACACACTTACCAAAGTTGCTAAACGATATCCTTGATCTACATAACTACCATTATATGCAATCGATATTATCACATAAGCATGGCCATATTTTAACCAAAATGTTTTACTAATTGATCAGAAATTCCCAGGATCCGAAGTGTAGGGAAGTATTCGTTTAATCTTCTCATGACGAGTCCTACCCATCGCCCTTGGTGTAAAGTGGTTGTGTGTTATAAAAAAAACACGTCTAGGCCACTCTTCAATCTGAATAACAGAGTGTTTGAGTTCTCAACTCAAATAACAATCACATTGATGCAAAAGGTTTGTAAATCAGCACTAAGTTGTCTTATTTGTGATAATCTTCTAAATTGGATCAAAGGGGAAAATCACTACGTCCTTGCTAAAAAACATATGGCTCGAGCACAAATTTCCGGTTACGGGTGTCAATTAATGTCTCTAATAATGAAGTGATAATGTAATAATAGTAGTAATAATAATAAATATAAAGACGACAACAAATATTCGAACACCGCGAAGTTTAAACAAAAATTGCTAAAAAATGTGTTCAACAAACTCGAGCACACAATGTTCAAGGAATAATCCTTTAATCGATTCTATTAAATGAGCGCCCTCCTTTGTGAACATCATTCAACTTGGGGTTATTCTTGGCCAGAATATCCTTTCCCATTTTAGCGAAGTCAAAATCGCAGTCGTGCTTATCGGGAACTTTATGTAAGTCGCAATAAATATACTCTGCAAAAATCGGAATTAAATCAGTTGGGATGTAATTTGAAACAATAATGATTTAATTGAAAGACATCATTACCACAACGGCATTTATTGACAGTCTGTTTGGCAAGTGGAATTTTCGCTCGGCACAAGAAACAACGAGCTTTATTGGTTTGAACTGGTCGGGGAGGTGGCGAATCTTGAACTATGGGCTGTGCGGCCGAAACACTCCCAGGTGGACGAAATAATACTGTCCTTTCTGTCTCGACCGCTTTTCCTGAAACTGCCTGGGTATCAGTCGTATTTATGGAATCAGATGGTTCATTTGTTGATGTCTCAGATATAGTCGGTTCGACTACGTTCTCGGCTTTATCCACATCGAAATTACCATGAACAAGTCAATAAGTTATCTGGCCGTAAAGATGTTAGCACCACAAAAGCAGCTCTAAAACTAATCGAGGTTGTTCTATTGAAATCGTAAATACCTTTTTGCATATTCTTTCCGTTTGACTCTTTAAAGCACTTTGAGCACATATAGTTATAGATACGATTCCTAATTTGACAAAAACCAACAGTTTTTTACATCAAATTGTTAGAATTTTACGTAAACTGAATACCAATTCGGCTCAACATTCATCAAATAAGGAACATGTTATTGTGAAGGATAAGCCAGTAGAAAATCCTTGAATACTCGCTCGGAGACAAGATCTGCATATAACAAAATGCTCTTCGGAAGGTCGTATGCCAGCGTAATTTGAAAGGATTAAAGCGCCACCTACAATGTATGTACTCACCCATAAAATCCGCAGCCATTAATGCAAAACTCTTGTGCGTTAGAGGCGTTATTCTCCATTTTCCACGTCGAAGGACCACCTGGGATGATGGGAAGACTTGTTATCATAAACAAGGGAAAGCATAATAATTATTATGTGGCTACTTCAATGAATGACCGCACGAAGTGACTATTTTAGTGCGTTGACAAAACTTACGAAGTTTTTAATAGTGAATTTTTGCTTATAGAGTCACAACGAAAGAACGGTGTGCAGAACATACAAAAACTGTTGAAATGGTATTATAAATAGTAGATATCACCTGACAAGTAGGATACGTAATAATATGGCGCAACTACCAGAATTTAGACCAATCAAAATCATGAATAATCGAATATATGAACTATAAACTGTATATATATACCACACACTTTCTGGTAATTCATTAGCAGGAAATCTTGCAAAGGCAACAAAATTTTACTTTTGCAGAATGAAGAATTACAGTTGAGACATAACATATTAAAATGCGAATCGGATAACATATAAAACTAAATTATATCAACTACGAACTTGGAAATCAATTAACGACTTAATCGTCGTGCCTGCTGGTATGTGAACGTAGTAAGCGGATTACGAGGGTTCTCGTTACCACTTCATGATAATGGTAATCATGTATTGGCGCATAATGAGTGTAATCTTAATTACGTGCTCCGTGATTATTCAGTGAACATGCTCGTCTCATACTTAATACTCCTATCATACGATATTAATCAATGTCTAGACGAATATCCATTCTTCAGAGAAAGGTAGTAAAGGGAAGGTATAACCGGGCCGAGTGGTGAATAACTCATACTCTGCGTAGCATAATTCTCAGGTGCATCAATTTCACTTCGATATTAAATCTTAGTTTCATAGTACTCTCTGCCATTGACATGAATCGTCGCCGTAAGTACGACGTTCACCCATACTTGGAGGTTGCAATGGCTAAGTCTGTATTCGAGTTGCTTCTTTAATGATAATAAACGGAACATGTTTCACCATGAACCGCGTGTGTTCCGTCGTTCCAACCGTATAGATTGTATCGTGCCGCATATCCAATAACCTATCTTCGCTCATCACTCACTGGAACAATTACTTCAAACATACTAGTCGAGTAAGTTACTAATCGTTCGCCGCGAGAAAAATCAATTTGGACAATTCGACGATCGGATTTGATTTATAAAATACAATAATAAAGAGAACTTTTCGAACTATAATATTCTGGAACTATACATTTTGGACTCAACTTAATTAAAATCACACCGGGTAGCTAACCTTTTTATAATAATTTCTAATTAACCGCACATTTTAAAGAGAAAAAATTGCACCCATGTTTTTCGTTAGAATTTTCTAGCACTCTTAAAAACTCTTTAATTTCATGATTACAATAATTCTTTCTTTATCTATAGATACTCCTGAAAATTTTGGTATGGGTCTGTGTCTGGTTCATTTCCCCGATAGCCCATTTCCCGACACTCACTTCCCCGACAGTTGTCGGGGAAATGAACGGGTCCCGCTGAAAAAGTAATGCGAAAAAAACAACTTCATTTAGAAAATTCATGTCACAACATCGAAAATAGTCACCATCTCTATCATGCAAAGTTGTAGCCTCCTACACCCGATCGTCAAAGGATCTATGGTAGTCTTTGCTATATCGGAAGTAATTGGCTAAACAGCCAACGCAAAATTTCAACCTTATTATGCGGTTTATTTTCAAACTCTTTCTTGATCCTAGGAAATAGAAAAAATCACAGATGTCATATGGCCGTAAACATGGGTAATGGAAAATATCAACTTTTTTTTCTTTAAATGCTTTAGTGACCGGTTTGAAACATGTGGCGCAGTATTATCATGATAAAGCATGGAACCTATTTTTTGTAAAATTTCCACCTATTTGGCCTATTCAGAGCATTCTCATCATGCCTTGCTGTCCGTGCTCAAATGCTTCAATCAAGCAATAAATTATCTCCTTTTACCACTAAAAACTTGTCAGTGGCAGATGTGCCTTTTGCCTGTTTAGCCAAAAACGATATTCACGAGTAAAATTCTCCAATTGATTATGTCACTCATCTAATACAGTCTTGTGGGGGAAGATTATCGGGGTTCCAGCAGCAGTGACTCTCTATTCATTAATATCAGCACATAAAATCACATGAGCAAATCAAACAGTAGTTGAAAGCGACGCTTCCAGGAAATCGTAACTATGTTTAGCTCCAGCACACAGATCATTGAGTTACATACCTATTCACCTCTCTCCATAACTGCTTTAATCGACTCAATTTTGTCAACTTGCGCTCTTGCAAGCCTCGTACAGCTTTCTATTTATTAGCGCTTACGACATAGAATATATTATTAATGGTTTCTAATACTAATACTAAGAGTAAATTTATCGATTTATGTATTCTGAAAGTGCGATCCTACGGCTTATATTTTACTACCTTCTTGTTCCTATGTATGATGAGTGAGATGAATTTGGTAAATACATTTTATATATTTAATGTCGATGTTCGTTGTCGATATTTATATCTAACAATACATAGTGCAAAGTTCAACTGGCTTCTTGCGTTTGGAGACGCCTTCACATCCACATCAGTTTAACAATGCGAGCACTGAACGACAATTCCCAACATTAGAATTTCCCTACAGTATATAATCAATTTTATCGTAGGTGACAAACAGGTGGTAAAAACGTGGACACGAAACGTAATAAAAAGGAAAGAAATAATTATAACGAACCGACTGCAAAAAGACTATTTCGAACACATCTGTACAAACACATTCATCTTTCGCTTGCAGATTAGGCAATGGTGCGTACGAAGTATAAACACTGATTGCTCGCATTAATGAAAAGAATGCTCATTTTTTATAACAAATGCGTTCGAAAATTCTTTTAAGACTTTACTGCGCGCAATATTCACGATAACACAATTCAGAATTCGGAGTAGGAAACTGTTTCAATTAAATTTGCATTGTTTAAATTGTTCCTGTTGACGCGTACTCTAGACCAAGTATCGTGCAGATCCATCATCACCTAATTCTAATAATAATGGTCTCTACTATCTTCAGTCAACAATATACAACACTGTCTACTACTCCGGAACGCAGGCCACAGTCTATTCCAAGACAAACGCCACAAAACTCGCCCTTCAGTTTATCTCAACACGAAGATCCATTTTCAGATTGCTTCCAAACATTACAACGCGTACATAGTCAGGAAAGCACTACGTCGAATCTCACCAAGGATAACAGTCATAGCGAAGAGTTAATAGGCAACAAAGTTGATAGAGAAGACGTAGAATGTGATAAAGTCAGTAATGACGGAAATTCATATTTTGCAAAGCGTTTTCTGCTCTTTATTTATATTTTTGCATTTCAGATAATTATGGCATTAAGTTACAGAAGAAATACGCTGGGATGCTCATATTATAATCCAACTAACTTGAAATTGTATCTGATGGAAGATCAGCAGGAACATCCTCCATTTGATCTTCTTTCTCTTCTTCTGTCTCAAGTTAACCCATCTGTAATTCTCGCTAGCTCCATTGCGGATGACACATTCACTTCCGCTCTGTCGCGTTTGTCTCATTCGTATTCTGCCGTGTCACCAAATTTGTCTATAGAAATAAGACCGAACATTGAGTTTAATTACTCATCAGCCAAAAATAAGCTACTCAATATTGGGCTGAAAAATGGGAAACGTCTGCAGACAAGTGACACCGCTGATAACAGGAAAGATGTGTTTTTAAAGCTGTCAAGCGCAATAGACATGGAGAGCGAAGAAAGTGTGTGTTGTGCCGGAGTAGTTCTGAGTTGTGCCAAACGATTGCGTTTGGAAGAAGTCGAAGAAAACGAGAATGATTTGACATTAGAAGTATTGGGAATTGAGCAATTCTCATTGTTAGTACTGCAAGCGATGGTATTGCAATATTTGCCTGCCTAGCCTAATATTATCCAATGTCAATTTATTATGATGTCTGTTTTTACGATCGCTATTAGGAAGAACATCCTGCAGATAAGCCAAGACGCGCTTCAATCACTTCAAATATTCTCATCAGAATCACATCCGAACGTTCATCTTCATAATTATGCAAAGGAATCAAACTCACTCTTCTCTTTGTTGAATTTTACACGCACAGCCTTAGGCAAACATCTCCTTAGACAATGGTTCCTTCGTCCTACTCTCTCTCTTTCCGTCATCTCTTCTAGACATCGTGCCATTGAATGTTTCCTAGGCCCGGCCAATTTCGATATAGCTGAGCAATTACCTCACTGCCTGAGACATGTAAAAAATGCCCCTAAGATACTTGAGAAGATGAAAGGAAAATTGGATGTTAACATGTGGCAAGTTCTGATGAAATTTAGTTATTATTGCTTGAGGATTAGAGAACTAGTCAAGGAAATTCAATGGAGAGGTGAAGGAAAGGTAGAAATTATAGAAAGAATTAAGGAAGAGTTCAAACCACAGGAGCTTAAGGATGTGGGGACCATCATCAACAACGTGGTGAGTTGAGCGTGGTGGCATGCTGAACCATTAAACGGATTAAAACTAATACGGAATAATTTGCCGACGACCGAAGATCGATTTTGATGGAAGTGCGAAGGAGGGCCGAATACTTGTTAAACTCCGTGTTGATGAGGTAATAGTAAGTGTTCTGGATGCTTACACTAAACGTAATTTCTACGAATAATTTTATTTCACATAATTAGGAGCTCGACTACATGAAAAAGACCTACGATGGTCTTGATGATTTCTTGGTTTGCACTTTAATATTAATTCATGCTTTCCATTTGCTACACCATCGGTTATTAATTTCTACTAATTGCACAGTCGGAAGTGGCTACAGACATCAGCGCTGCTATTCCGCCACAGTTTGCATCAACCTTGAATGTTGTATACTTTCCTCAGCTTGGATATCTAATTGCTGTGCCAATGAAATCCGAATGGAAGTATGAAAAGGACTTCGTTGTTGATGGATTATCCTACCAGGTATCAGGCATACGTATAAACAACAGGCAATGGGGCAATTGAATTAACTTTATATTACTCTCGTTTTATATACAGTTTAGTACAGTGTCTACAGTATACTACAAGAATAATCGCATGAGAGGTAATTGAACGTTGTGTCTTCTTTTATTCAAAATATTAACAAATTTATTCGATACATATTAGAACTAGATGAATATCTGGGCGATATTCACGGGCTCGTTGTTGGTATATTGCATATTATTATCATATAAGTATCCGTCAATATAGACCAAAATTGACAGTTAATAAGATCGTGAAATAGAAATAATCCAAAAGCTTTACGAAAACGTCAGAGAATACTCATTATTACTTACCCGATGCACAGAAGTGTGTGCAGAACTAGACTGGTCAGTAAGCCAGATTGAAGCCTATTTTTTCTTATCTCGTTAGGTGTTGATTTTGTCTGTATTATGTAGCCTATTGTCCCTCACCACTGCAGCACGCAAGTACAAATACTCTTCACCAACAATGACCGAAGAGAACATAATCCATGTTAAACGCGGGAGGTATTATTGTGTTTGATATTGTAATAATACTACGAACTCGATGTTTGCTAACCACATCTCATTAAGACATCCACTTCAAGAATTGTATGTGGACGTCTTTGTAGCCAATGATACGTCGCTTGTTGGTGGTATGGGTGTACGCGGTGATTTTGACTCTGAAAATCGGGAAGAGAGCGCTGACAGAAGCATTATGCTGTTGAGTGGGGCCAACTGCTCAGGGAAAAGTGTCTATCTAAAGCAGATAGCTTTGATTGTTTATATGGCACATATTGGCAGGTAAAGTGAAATGATAGACGAATCTAAATTTATCGTCTACACGTAACAATCTTCCCTCGTCAAGTAATTGCTACTCGTGCAATCCAGCTTTGTTCCAGCTCAATTGGCGACTATTGGCCTAACTGATAAGATATTTACCAGAGTGCAAACAATAGAAACCGTCTCCAAAGTATGCGGTATATCGTTCGTTTGCCTGTAAATAACTCTCTAACATAACTTTCACGTTGAGTAGATTCAGTCCGCATTTGTCATAGATCTTCAACAGATCTCAATTGCGATCAGAAACTCAACTGAGCGATCTCTTTTGATATTTGATGAATTTGGAAAAGGAACTGGATCAACAGGTATATCTAATGTATCAGAACTGTTTGTCAAACTTAATCTTGAACTAAAGCACCGTAGATGGAGCAGGTTTGTTCTGCGGAGTGATCGAGAATTTATTGAAGCGTGGCCAAGGATGCCCTAAAGTCGTGGTCGCAACACATTTTCATGGTAACATAAATATTTGTTCTCATGCATGATTGTTCGTGATGTTACTTATATCATCTATCAAAGAAATTTTCGAGAACAATTTGTTAGATACGAATCTCCCGATTATGATGAACGCAATGGAGATTGTTCGTGACGAAAAGTCCGAAGAATTAACTTTCCTCTATCGGTAGGTATATAAATATATGATCATAAATTTAATTATCTGTATCAATTAACATCTTAGGAAGACTCGTCCCAGGACGCAGTATGACATCTTGGGGTTCCTTTTGCGCGCATATGGCAGGAATTCCAGCAGCTATTGTCGCCAGAGGTAGATATTAATACGTAGCCCGCTTTATAATAGCACACGATCAATCTCTCACATAAAATAGCCTCTCATCTATCCCAGCTCTTTGCACGTTATGAATCAGTGCCATATTCATGTTTCAGCAACCGTAATGGTCAAGAATATGTTAAACTGGAGACTATTGCACGTAGATTTGTTGAACTGGACTTTGACGGCGGATGTGATATCGAATCATTTCTGGATTTAGTTGGAAGAGAAATTGATTGGTGATAAAGTGATGAAGCTAAGAGTCCGGATCTACGTGTCTATTATATTACAACGGAAGCGGGCAATAAGCATTCAAAATCGTAATTTTTAATACCTAACAACAATAATAAATTTCTTATGTATTGCTACTATGAACGCTGATTTGTACCCAGGTCTACATATTCAGTGGTCTATGGTAATACTAAATAAAGCCTTGATGAGAATAGTATCAATCTTCTAACAAGTATATTATACTCTCGGTGTTATACATCGCTTTTACTAATATTACGAACGCCTTTTTTGTATTAAACATAAGGTCTTATAATCGCAATCTTTCTAAACTGAACACTTCTCACGCTTCCCTTATTAGTCGTCAAGATGTTATTCTGCTACTTGTCTTATTAATCGCGAAGAATTTACATGCAAAGTGTCAATTCAGAGAATAATTCTCGTGCCCTGCTTATCAATCGCCGATTATAACGAAATAATTATTCCGTCGTGGAGTGCTCTAATAACCTGAACAATATTTTATAACAACATGAACAATATTTACAACATATATATGGATAAGGGTCGCTTATATACCTTTAGCGACACTCAAAAGTCGAAACGAAGCTAAAAAAAAAAATCGTAATTTCTATGAAGAAATCATATTCTAAGTTAGCTAATTATAATGGCGTTTGTGCTGACACTCAAAAATCGAAACATTCTCTGCGCCTGACACTCAAAATTCGTTCGAAACCATACAAAAAGGTCGGCGTGTGCCGTCACCCCCAAAGGCCCGGTTGAAAATGTACACCCCTGACAAAATTATAAGTACAAGATTAGTGAAGCATGTTAATATGAAACCCCTTTATTTCGAAAATCTCTATATCGTCCATACGTACTATGTAACCCACAATGATTTTGGTACTATTTTGAAGCTAATTGGTTGTACTGTATTTTTCAGAAAAAATTATGATATACTCAGTCCTGTTATCGTTTCAAAGCTGTAGTTCGAGATAACCGAGCATTTATCCGTCGCTTTTACCGTGATCTGCATGTTTATTATTGGTCATAAATCAAAAAATCATACTTACCTAAAAATTAACCTAAATAACCGTGATAATAATCCGAATTGTTACGACGAAATTATGTTACACATATGAAGTCATATGTGTAACATAAGTACCGTCACTTCATCGAACTACTTCTTCATTACAGTAACTAATTTAAATTCCACACCATTTTTTTTCAAAAATACAGTCAATTAGCTTCAAAACGGTACCAAAATCATTGTGGGTTACATACAGTGCCTACTCAAAAGTCTCCGACCACCCCTTAAATTTTTCGTCGATCGCGCATAACACTATAGTCAACCATCCAAACGCAATAAAATTTTAAACATTATTTGCGCATCTTCTAAGCTATATTCCTACAAAATTTTGTTGCATATTAATATGTAAGATTTTGAGTTTACTTATGCCTAAATTTATCTAACCGAAAACGAAATAATTGAGTGTTACGATAAAAATATTCAAAATTTAATAACTGCCCAACCGTTTGCGCTATAAACAAGATCTCAATTGAGTCTTGTAGCAATTTACTTGTAGTTTTAAATAAATATTAAATGGTCGGGTATTATTACATAAAATAATTTTTATCATATTTTTCAAGAGCATTTTGCAGATCGTTAGTTGGAACGTAATCACATGCATGTACATTCGCAACATAAGCAGCATTTCAAATACAAGAGGAAGAGTTTGGACTCGGTCTTCTTATTACCATACCATTTTGCGAAAATTCCTTGTGTTTATTAGTAATTATGACAGAATTAACTGAATTTGAGCGCGGAATTATTATTGGAGCATGGCTGTTTGACCATTCTGAACGGGAAATTGAAGCCAAAACTGGCTATGCCAAAAGTACAATACATGACACAATAGAAAGGTATTGTGAGACTGGTGGTGGAACATCCCGTCCACGTAGTGGCAGACCACCATTACTCACTGATAGGGACAAGCAGCATCTTGTAAGGATTGTTCAGTCTAATCGTCAACAATCTGCAAAACAGGCCCACAATGACTTTGTCCAGTCATCTGGAACTGTTGCCAGTCTTTTAACAGTTAGAAGAGCATTGTATGAAACAGGTTATCATAGTCGAGTTGCTGTCAGAAAACCACACATTTCAGTCAAAAACCGTCGAGACCGATTGGAATGGTGCAAAAGACACCAAGAATGGACAGATGAGCAATGGAAAAAAGTCATCTGGAGTGATGAA